ACTTGGAAAAAGTTTGAGCATAATGCATATTCCAGAGTATGGATGATGTGAACTTTTAAATTTTTGTTATCTTTTGTTTTTATATCACCTTCATTTTCCAATGTAGTCTTCTCTGCCCTCAAATAGCCATCCCTTATAACAAAGAAGAAAAAAATCAACAAAACTAGCCAAAATATCAGAGTCAGACAATATACCCATAATGTCCTCACCTCCAAAAAGAAGAATAAGAGGTATATTTTCCTACCTCTTCTTTGGGGCCCAGTTGATCCTTTTTTAGCACTGTGTTGAGTTGTTAGTATTTTGTTATTCTTTCCATTTACATTGTTATAGTCCTTGTGTGTATCATTTTCCTAGTTCTGTTTCCTTTACTTCTAATCAGGTGGACTTGAATTTTTAGCAAAGTGACAAATATGACCTCACAGGTACCATTGATTCTCAGTAGGATAGTACTTGATTGAAATATCATGTAAGCATATCCTTTGTTCAAAAGAAACACATTTTAAACTTTGTGGATTAAAAAATATTTTACAGGAGCCCTAGAATTAGTGTCAAGAAGGACCCATCTCTATCTGCTTTGCTAAGAGAAGGAAGCACCCTGTTAAAAAAATAACACAAACCAGATTCTAAATAATAATAATAATGCTTCAGAAAATAATGCTTTATTGGGTAATGAAATTTGGTCCAAAAGGTAAGGTGATAACCAGGAAGACACTGACTCACAGGAAAGAAGAACTTCTGGTTCTAGAAGAAAAGACATCCTAAAAGAGACAAAACTATCTACCGGAAGTTCAAAACAAAATAACAGCAACCAGATAGCAAAGAAGAATATTAAACTCCAAAAGAAATCAAGAAAATGAAGATGCTCAAATTTTGTAAATAGTAAAAAATAATTTTAAGGCAATTACCCCCTGCCTATCAAAAAGATATAATTGTTATAGAAGTGAAAAAAAAAATAAGGATAGAAAAAATAGGATTAGAAAGTAACTTTAGGTGAAAATATATGGATGTTTTAAAATATTTCATGATTTCTTGTCACAAATTTTCAAGATGTTTTGTAAATAGTTCAGTAAATGTCATGTTCCAGGCAATGATTTCCTTATGTAAACTTCAGTATGCTAATTTATCCTTTTGCCAGTAATGAGATCTAAGACAAATCTTTTTTAACATGTGTTTATGGCAAGGTAAAGGTTTGGGCTTTTTTAAGCACATGTAAACTTTTTTTTGTTATGAACTGTTTTTCTTCATAACCCAGGGGGCGGGGAGAATAAAGAAGAATGTATCTATGTGAAAATCCTTGAACCCAAGAGAAAGAGGAATGTTTAGAAGAATTTTAAGTGAAGATAGAGAAAAGGAGAAATGATGGCCTTTTCAAGAATGTTATAGACCACTTTATCAGATGAAAAAAATGGGTGATAGAGTTCATGGAACTCTAGATCACAAAACTAACATTTAGACAAATAGTGAAAGATGTCAGCTTCTTGGACATCTGCTGGGAAACTCAATCCATTAAATCCAGAGAATCTGATCTTTATTGTGGTGCTGTGGGAAAAGAATGGGTGTCCAAGGATCTGGCTTTGAATATGGATGGCTCTGCTACTTATGTGACTGTGGACATCTCTCTGGACCTCAGAAGCCTCACCCTGTAAAATGGAATAGATGAACTCTAAAGTTTCTTAAAATGAAATCTTACCACATGAGGCAGTCCATTTCCAGTTTCAGATAGCCCTATGTTTGGAAGTCTTTTCCTCTATATCCGAGCTAAAATCTGACAGTAATGTACACTATTTGCTTGTAGTTCTGCGTGAGCGCACACACACACACAGAGAATAAGGCTTCTACATGATACCAATTCAACTACTTGAAGACTGTTATCCTGAAGACTGCTTTACTTGTTTGCAAGTTCAGCATCCCTGGTTTGTTGGAGATGGTTCATCTGGAATGTGATATCCCCAAATATCACATTCTGGTCACATCACTCCAACCAGAGCAGAGCACAGAGAAATGATACCTCTTTTGCTTTGGACTCTTGCTTCTCAGTGACACTTAAGAATGATACTAACATTTTTGATGGCCATCTCACTTGTGGGCCAAGTTCTGTGCACCACTGGAGGGAATGTTGGGGGTTTGTATAGTTATGTGTAGAGCCGTTTAGACTCTGGAAGCACTGACATTTCATTCTTTGGTATGAGCACCATGTTCCTCAAAGATCTCAGGGGTAGCTCAGGCCAGAGGTATAAACTTTCAGTAAGCCATAACTGATGTGGATCAAGGACCTGGCACTTGTGAGCTCCTTGACAGCTGAGCCTATTTTTGCCCTTCTGTGTATTTAGCACAGCGCCTTAATAAATGTGTGTTGTTTTGACTTGGCTTGATCAAAACTTCTATTTTTCTTTATCCATTTTATATTCCTTCCCTTCTATCTCTTAACAAGTTGGTCTAACTTCTGCTCAAGGATAACCCTACTACCATCTGTGCCTTTAATCCTATTATCTTGTCCTTCAACTATTAATCAGAAGATTCATTCTGTCAAGCTCTAAACCTCATTTCTCTCAACTCCAGATTCACATTTTACACCATTTCTTGGATGGATCACCTGGATGGTAGCACAGTATCTCCAACTCAGTACGTCCCAAATTGAATTCATCATCTTTCCTCCAAAATCTTTCTCTTCCCAACTTCCTTACTTCTGTTAATAGGATCATAGGCTTCTGTTATTGTTGTTCCTTCTTCATTCTCAGAGGACGAATGACATCAGGGTGATGTCTTAACTTTCTAGTGAATTTAAGTAATATCTCCACCAGTGACACTATATTTTTATTACTATGCCAAAGATTACATTTTTTTTAATAGCCATGGCACATAATCGTGGTTTAATTTTGAGTTTGTGGTCAGCTAAAAACCTCAGTTCTTTTGGGCCTGGAGTCAGGAAGACACATCTACACGACTTAGCCCTGTTTGCCTCAAGTTTCTTCATCTGTAAAATGAGCTGAAAAAGGAAATGACCAACTACTCTATCTTTGCCAAGAACACCCCAAATGGGGTTAGGAAGTCTGACATGACTGAACAACTGTGTGAATACACCAGTGTATGAAGCTCTATAGCGGCTTCCCATTGTCTCTACCAAGTCAAGTACAGACTTCTTAATCTTCTAAGACTTGACCTACTGATAGGCTCCAGCTTAGGTGGACTAAATTGACATGTCTGTTCCCAGGATCATCCAATCATGGGTCCAGAGCTCAAAGGAACCTCAGTCGTTTTATAGAGGAAAATGAGACAGGTTAAGTAACTTGTCCAAGGTCATACAGGTGGGAAAATATTAGTGTCAAGATTTGGCACACTGGTTTTGCCCAGGTGTTTTCCATACCCTTTATTCCCTTTCTTCCTTATTGCCTGCTGGACCCCACCCTTGATATCCTGTTTGTTAAAGCCTAAGGCCTAGATAAAATAATCCTCTATGAAACTCTGGTCTTTCTTCCTACTACCTCCATCCAGAAGTGATCTCTTATCAATTTATAGCATGTAGTATTTCTTTGCACATCCCCAGAGCAAAAGAAACATGAACATTTACCACAGGGCTTTTCAAAAGCTATTTGAAGACTGCTATTCTTCCTCTACTATTTTTGTACTCAACTGGAAGTTAACTCACACCCAAGTAATACCATCTTTGTGCAATATTTCCAGTAACGAGCAAACTAAAATTGAGGATCAAAGTGCAACATAAAGGTACATATAAGAGAAAAGGCTGTAACATTACAAAGGAAGAATAATGCAGAAATGGTACAAGATATGTTGTCAGAGAAATGTTTGACCAAAAAAAAATGAGCTGGGGGGCAACTAGGTGGCACAGTGGATAGAGCTCTGGCCTTGGAGTCAGGAGGACCTGAGTTCAAACCCAACCTCAGACACTTGATACTTACTAGCTGTGTAAATCTGAGCAAGTCACTTAACCCTGATTACCTAAGCAAAAAAAAAATAAAATGAGGTGGTACTTGGTGGTAGGTTGACTGGCAGTGATGTAGGAAAAAAAAAATCAATAAATCATCTTAAAAGTTGCACAAATGGGAGGAGGGGGTCACACATAAAGCAGTTTGTTATACGTACACACATATAATACATTTTTTAAAAACCAAAACACTATGTGGGGTTGATCCTCTTCTGCATTTTTGTCTTGACATGTTTGTGATTATATGACTGATGAAACTATCAAGAAAAATAATTTTAAAGGTACACTGACTGGTCTTATAGTGAGAAAAAGGATAATCAATGAATGACAGCTTATGTATTCCATTGGTATCCACTTGATGTCAGAAGATCTAGAAGAAAGGTTCCTAACACATTAAGCGGATCCCAGATTTACAGGAGGACATGAGAGGTACTCAAGGCAGGGAGGCATGAATGGTTGTGAGCCACATTGTTGGAGCACCCACATTGATGAGATTACACATCTATTGAAATGTCTGTGCCAATGCTGTCCTGTTATATCCCTCTAATCTTGATCTCTGTAGTTTTTTCTTTTCTCGGACTAATATGTCCTAGCAAAATCTGAAACTTTTAATCCTAACATCTTGGCATAAAATGAAATAAAACAATTCGCCAAAGAGAAAATCAGTTATTTGTTGTTTATTCAGTATTTAGGGTTAGTATGACACTTGAGGAATTGGTTGCATCACTGTACATATATAGATCTTATACAATATGGAAATTTACAACTATTGAGACATACATATATATATATATATATATGTATATATATATGTATATATATATGTATATATATATATATATATATATATATGTATATATATATATATATATGTATATATATATGTATATATATATATATACATACACACATACATATATATGTATATGTGTGTGGTGTGTGTGTGTGTGTGTATAGGTAGACAAAATCAGGTCCTCTGGAAAGGTGATATATGTGGCCATGCTGTAGAGCCCTAATGGAGGGGTACAAAGGTAATCAATGCATCAATAAAGTGTTACTACTATATGGTGTTTTATATCCAGGAATGTTGTCTTCTGGATCTATGGGAACCTGCAGCACTTCCATACAAGGCAGGCAGTTATATATCTGTGGGGGCGCTGGATCTGCTTGATACCAGCTACTAAGACTGTACAAGTCATACTCAGCATCATACACAAACGACAACAGGGTTTAACAAACAGCAGTCACACTGTACTACTCCCCATTTCTAACTTTAGGAAGGGACTAGAGTGTGTTCACAGGTTTTACTTTTCTGGTGTTCAATCGCTAATCAGAGGAAGGTTTTGACCTATTTGAAAAGTGCATCATACATAACCCCTTAACCACTGTCATGTTCTCTATGGTAAAATGGCAGCACATTAAAAGGCTTTAAAATTGCAGCTCTTTCTGGATTCCCCAAAGTGTGTCGGCGCTCTTCTTTAAATGGCCTTCCTCTTCCGGATTCAGGTTTACCTTCACCACATCTGAAATGCCATTCTGCCCCAAGACACATGGGACACTAAGGAAGACATCCTCATTAATTCCATATAGGCCCTAAAAGACAAAATGAGATCATATTTTCTTTCACACCATACTCTGATGTCTTCTACTCTGTCCAACAGCCAACTATAAATGCAACAAGGCAGCTGGAATTGTTTAACTGGCTTCTTTACCCTAAGATGTGCTTGAAGATGATCAAGATTAACATCAACAAGTCTATCACCCTCTATTATCTGCCCTTCCCAATCTATTCAACAAGCACTAGTATACTTTATATATATCCACATAAAACAAATTTTGCCTTTTATTACTCTGTATTAGACCCACTGAATGCCAATGTTTTCTTTTTAAAGTACATTTTTAATGCTAGGTTTATACATTCTAGTTTAACTTGATAACACTGTCCATAAATGATACATTTTTCTTTTTGTGCACTGCTTAGGAGATTAGACATTTTTCATTCTATTCTACATGTATAACCAAAATGCTATTTGCAAGCTGAAACCTTTTTTTTACCTCAATGAAATGTTCTCATGAAAAGGGAATTTTGAGCAAAGCAATTTGTTAAAATTTCTATAGCCACCTGACTATAATTTATTTTTTTTTAATTGGCAGCTTGCCCAAGGGATACTGTCCCAAAAGTAAAACAAATTCATGAACTAAGAATTGCTAAGTTGGAAAGAACCTCTGAAAATATCTGTAGTCTTATCTAACCCTTCCCCAAATCAGGAATCCCATTTAGAACATTCCAGACAAGAACTGGAAAGCTCACTTCCACCACTACTTCTGCCCTCTGTCTGCCCCAAGCACCTTATTTTATTTTTAGCCAGCTCTTATTACTAGTAATTGTATCCATGTTGGGCTGAAGCCAGCTTCCCTTCAACTTAGTCCTAATTCTGACCAAGCAGAACAAGCCCAATCCTCTTTTACATTAACACTGCAGAATTACGTTCTCACCTTGGCCTCTTCTTGTGGACATATTCTAGAGCAGGGCTTCTTGAACTTTTCCCATTCAAATCCCCTTCAGCAGTTCTTAAACTGTTTAAAGTGCTAGTCTATCACATCCCTTCTAAAACATAACATACCCAAAACATACACTATTATTCCACATGTGGTCTAAGGCAGAGTATAATGGAACTGTCATCACCTCCACTCACTTCTAGACACTCACTATATATTACTGAGACATACAGCTGTTATTCTGAGGCCCCATGGCATAACGGAAAACTGCCAGACTTGAAATCATGAGACTCAGGTTTAGCACTTGAATCAGAAAGTTACTAGTTGAGTAAGTCACTTACCCTCAGAACATCAGTCTCCTCATCTGTAAGATGGGAGATAAAAATACTCATACTTCCTTCCTCACAAGATTGAGAGGAAACCTTAAAATGTGAGTAGTTCTATTCTCTGGCCATATCTCCTCTAATATCTGTGGAGTTGATTTTGTAAATCCAATTGCAGGATTTTACATTTATCTTGATTATATTTCATCTTGCTTCATTCTACCATTCTAGCCTGTTAATGTATTTGTATTCCAATGCTCTCATCAAAATAAAACATTTATTCATCACTACATTGTGAAGTCCTAAAATCTCCATCATGACATGACTATTAACATTTTTTTTAATATGTAGAAGCACTCAAAAAACAAAACACACCAAATACATTTAAAACCATTTATCTGTAACAGATACCTATAGACACCTACCTTAATCATGGTGGAAATTGGATGCACTCTCTTAAGATTCTTCATAATGCTTTCTGCTAGATCTGCCACAGACAAGCCAATGGCCCAGGAAGTATAGCCCTTCAGCTTGATCACCTCATAAGCACTGCCAGTAACAAGAAGTTACTAAATTATTTGGGGGAGGGACTGAGCAGAAACACAGCTTTCAAAGAACAGTTATAATAGATAATGCTACAAAGCAGAAATCTTCCCTATCCAAGGATTTCACTCCAACATTATTTATGAGCTATTTAAATGAAATTTTTGGTGCTTTTGTTCCATACTGTACTAATTTTTAAATGTTCACCAATATTAGGAAGATCCTACAATAAACAGCATTAGAGATAGAAAAACTAGGAACTTTTTTTTGTTGAGGATAAAACTCATGCTGTGTAAAAAGTCTAAATAAGCTTACCTGTTCCTTTCACATCATGATCTTTGACAGTATCTAACATGAAACCACCAGAGATCTTTGGAGCATTTATGGGGGAGAAAAAAAAGAACTAGAATCCTACGGGATAAGGCAGAGGTGATACTGCTGACAAAATGATGGGTCCACTAAAAGTATTTGAGCTTTGACATTTCTTAAACAAAAATTTTTACTGGATTTCTTCCATATAAAACCATTCAAATGGAAATTGGAATTTCATGTTTTACAAAGATTGAAAAAAACCCTGCTACTAAAATATTAAGAGATCCTCACTAACCTGTCAACCACCTGTTTATGAACTTGTTTCCAATTCTCTGAATCAGCATCAGTTCCCAAAGCAGGATAAAGATTCTTCAGAGAGACACCAGCAACATTCACACCACTCCACACAGGAACTTAAAAAAAATTCCGATACATGAAAATTAACTTCCAAGCACCCTGTTAGTAATTATGGCTTAATTTTGTATTTATCTCTTAATTCTACCCTACTATATTTCATTCTGAGAACCTCCTTAAAGAAAAGCAATGCTGCTCCTTATATAATACTTTTTCCATAACATGTAATAGAGAGAAAACTACTAATATTCTCATTTTTTCTTTTTTTAATCAAGAATAGTATGATTTGTATGCAGCTAGACTAAACAAATGCATTAATACTATCAATGTTGCTTTTTTTGTTTTAGTATTTCCTTCTAATCCTATACTTAAATGTGTTCCACTTTCACATTTACTACGTTAGTTTTCTATAGCTCCTTATTCATCATGTAACCCTCTTATAAGATCAAGAAAGGAAATAGTGGTAGTTTCTACTAACTATTAAGAAATAATTTCTACTATATTTTTACCTTCAATGATCTTGAGTTGATGGTATTTCTAATCTCAAAAATTGGGTGCCTCCCCCCCTCAAAAAGCAAAAGGTTTAGATAGTAGACTACTCAGCTAAACAAACATTTTTAGGGGTTCCCTATATAGATAATATTCTTCAACATTCTTCAAATGTTTTAATAGCCCATATTTATATGCTACCTTAAAGTCTAAGTACTTTTCTCAGGACAATCCCATGAGTAAGAATTATCATTCCCTCGGGGCAGCTAGGTGGCAACAGTGAGTTGCTTCAGCTCTGGAGTCAGGAGGACCTGAGTTCAAATCCAGCCTCAGACACGTAACACTTACTAGTTGTGTGACTCTGGGCAAGTCACTTAACCCCAATTGCCTTGCCAAAAAAAAAATTATCATTCCCTTTTTGAACATAAATAGGCTCTCTAGGAGATAAACTTGCCATGGTCACACAACAAGTAATTATGAGAGCCAAGATCTGAACTTGGATCTTTTCTATATCCAAATCAAGTATTCTTTTGTTGTATTATTATATTTCTCCAGATAAAGACAGCTATGATAGGTATGGGTAGAATTTAGTCCATAAATCATATCCTACTTGAATTACAAGGCTGACCTTTTCAGAGTTAGCCAGTTCAATTAAAATATAAACCAGTGTCACTGACCACTGCAATCAAGTTAGTAAAAATTGTACTCATGACAAGTTTCACTTTTTACTAGTTAAATTGTAGATAATAATGCCAAAAAACTTAGCCCATTCCTTAACAAAAGGTGGGGTTCTCATAAACCATTCCTTACAGATAAACAAGTCCTCACAGATTTAGTTTTAAGCAATTTTAAAATAGAACCCTTGACATTTTTTAGAATATTTGCTGAGTCCTATGGGATGGTGGTATAGTCTTACCACTGGAGTCTCCATGTTCCCCAAGGACCCATCCATGACAACTTGAAGAATGAACACCAAGTCTCTCCCCCATTAAGTAACGGAAACGGGCAGAATCCAGATTGCAACCACTCCCAATAACCCGGTTCTTAGGAAAACCACTTAGCTTCCAGGCCACATAGGTCAAAATATCCACTGTGAAGAAAAAATGTAGACAATATAAATGTTAATGTCCTCTGGCAGGTAATTGCTTTGAGGATAAAAATTATGCCAAATCAATACTCCTGGTATACCTGTAGTATCTATAGTACAATGAACCTATCAAACATTTATATAATGGTGTGGTCTAGTACAATCCTATTAACTCTGGCATAAAAGATTATAACAGAAGCATCATACATTAACACCAGGATTCCCCCTTTAACAAGTAACTGTTTGTGGTGAGCCAACTTCCTAAAAACTTCATGAAACTTTGTATTGTAGTTTTCCCAGGGCATATCTATTAAAAGAAAAGAAATAAAATCCTAAGGAAAAAATGGAAAATATGAACTTATAAACAAACTAAAAATATATTTTTACAATATGACTCTCAAGGTTTACTATAGTTCAAATTTTGAATTTTAGCCAAGTTTGTGTTAAAAGATGTCTTAACAGTCAAATCTTACCTGGATTGGAAACAATCAGCAGCTTACAATTAGGGCTATATTTAACAATATTGGGAATGATGAATTTAAAGATATTCACATTGCGCTGGACCAAATTAAGACGACTTTCTCCCTCCTGTTGACGTGCCCCAGCCGTAACAACAACCAACTTGGAGTTTGCAGTCACACTGTAGTCTAGAGAAAAGAGAAACAATACAATTATCCCTTCCACATCTCAACTTTCCCCATCATGATTTCAATATACTGGAGAGTCAGTGTAAGAAATCAAATAGGAATTTTTTAGTAGTTTTGCAGAAGCTGCAGATGACACATAAAAAGTTTAGAAACTCAAATGCATAAAATATAAGTATAGTATTGTGTAATATCAACCCAAATTTCATAAGGTACTAAAAAAAAGAAAAAATTCAGACTTCTCTGGTAGGAAAGAGGGCCACGGATTTTCCAGATCAAAATGGGAGGGAAGCAGGACTGTGTCCCTAACCCCTGGGATATGGAAGGGATAACTTAGTCTTATTTTGCTTAATAGTTAAGAATTGCTAAAAATCTGATATCCTACAAACTTCTACATACACATCTTTGAATTTCCTGCAACCTTAACTTTTTCTATTTCCAATTCAAAGTGAAACTGACATAATGTCAACCCAGCAAGTTAACTGAGAAACATTTACACATAATTAAAGACAGGTGTTTAGAACTATAAGAACCTATAAATTTAATTTCAGATGTAAAAACCTATAATTATCTGAGGGGAAAAGGTGATGATTATATCTCTTCCATGTCATGGACAAACTATCTTAATTTAAAAAATATTTACAGGAAAATGTAATAGGTAGTAATTGATTATCTAACAGGGATCAATGACAAAATACCACCTAACTTGGGTAAAAATATAAATCTTTGAACTCCTAGGAATTATTTTCCACAAGGATGACAGAAATTAGGTTGTGTGAATTACATTTTGAAACACTGCAAGAGGTGATGGAATAATGCAGAAGGAGATACTTTTGGATATGGGAGTTGGTTTTGCTTGACTGGGTTTGTTAAACAGTTTTCTTTTCTTGCCCAGTGGGGGGAGGTATAAGAAAGAAAAACACTTCATAATTGAAACAAGTAAAATTCATTTAAAAACAAACAAAAAACTAACCTTTGCCAGAAACAATCTTTGGCGTTTTGAGAAAAAGGCTGCCATGTTGGAGATCCATCATCTCCCCCTTTAGTTTGTCTTCTATCACATCAACTAGGGCAAGTTCATCAGCCAGATCCTGGAGGAGATATTTTCAGTTAAATTATTTCAATTCAAATAATTTTAGATTCCTCAAGAACATGGAAGAAAAATCTCTCTCACACATACTCTCATACATTTCTATAAAGATTTAAAATTTATTTATGAAATGCCTTCCTCATCTCTTTCAGGAAATTGTTTCTTGACATTTCCAATTCAGCAAACACTGATAAATCCCTACTGCAGATGCAAGGCCCTTGACTCAAATCCTACACTCTTACTCTATCATGACCCTGGATTCTGGAAAGCTGCCTCAGTGTACCACAAGCTATGTATGGCAGATCTACCAAGCCGGAAAGATCTCAAGAATAGGCCATCTGGTCCTCTGATGGCATACTGTCACTGGGCCTATTCTTAAGGTTGGCCTATTCAGAAAGTTGGCAACTATGTGATGACATTTTTTTGAGGGGGAGGGGGAAGCTGAGAAATTCACAAAGAGGGCACTAAGACTGTCAGGGAAGGAATAGCCATACTACTAAAATGCCAGGTCTTAGAAGTTGTAATGTTTAAAGTACTATGCTAGAGGCAGCTAGTGGCAAAGTAAATAGAGCACCAGCTCTGAAGTCAGGAGGACCCGAGTTCAAATGCAGCCTCAGACACTAGACACTTACTAGTTGTGTGACCCTAGGCAAGTCATTTAACCCCGACTGCCTCACCAAAAAGCAAAATAAAGTGCTATTCTAGATACTAGAGTATTAGGATCAAAAACCACATTAACTTTAGCCTAAATTGATTATAATCTAGTAAATCTGGGCAGCAATGACTCATGTTTGAATCCTACCTCAGACACTAGTGAGCCTGTGTAAGGCACTTAACTTCTCTTTTCCTCCTACCTCACATGATCATCTTAAGGATCAATGAGATAGCATTCTGCAAACCTTCCAGTGTTATTCAAATGTTAACCATTATTAGTAATGGAAGAGTTAAGAAAAATAAGTATAAAACGAAATTGTGTTGAAAAGGGATGGGAAAAAAATCTAGACAGTGCTCTGAGAAAGTTTGTAGGAGGTACTGTTAGATTTCCAGACATCAATACCTGGATCCAAGGTACAAAGCTAGCCCTCTCTCCTATGAAAACCTGACATATTATAATGGATGAATATAATGCTTCCCTTCTGTCCCTCTAGTTCCCATCTGCACTGAAGCCTGCTCAGAGTCCTCACTGCCACAGCTGTGAGAATTAGAGTTGAAGAAGCCTACAATGCCTTTCCCAAGGGCAGAAACTTAGAGCTTCTGTTGCAAGGGATATAAAATCTTCTTTTCCTGACTGTGGCTTCTACCTACTCATAACCTCAAATCCTGCAGAAACCCCTGCTGGAGGATGCAGCTTCCCTGACGACTAGAATTGTGGCATGAATTTAGGTATTTTTTTAATCTTCAAGTGAACTTAAAACCCACTTGCCTATAGAAACAATGTTAAGTTGGATGATAAAGAGTACAGATCCATTCAGCAACAAAGTTTCATTCAGCTTTTGTGCTAGTCTGGCAACCCAATCAAACCTTTGTTTCTATGGAAAAAATGAATTCCTAGCTCCAAATAACAATTACAGTTAGAATTAAATTAATTTTCAAGGGGAAGACTCAATGTGTGACTGATTACATTAAATGTCTCTAGTTTCTCCTGTTCAAACAAATTTTTTTTTAGGCAGTTGGGGCTAAGTGACTTGCCCCGGGTCACACAGCTAGTAAGTGACAAGAATTTGGTCTGAGCATAGATTTGAACTTAGGTCCTCCTGACTTCAGGGCCAGTGCTCTATGTACTACGCCACCTAGCTGCCCCTTTCAAACAATTTTTTAAAAGAGTATTGTAATCTTAATTTTAACTTTCTCTCGATTAAGCCAACCAGTTCTAAGATTTCAAAATAGCTCACTCCTCCAGTGTATACATTTATTGTGTATCTCTAACAAAACCACAAAGCAGTTTCACATCTGAGTGTGTGAGATATCAGGTAAAATGGACAAAATCATTATTCAACTTTTAAAAACAAGATTTCCTGCAATTGAGGCAGCCCCAGACAGTCACATCTCACACCTAGTTCACAAGCTCTCACTGACAATAGTCATGGGGTAAACTGCCAGTGTGAGGAGAGGTACTTGTAGCTGGCAGCAGGTTCTGCTCCAGTAAGAATTATAACACTGGACAGTCCACTCTAGTTTAGACATAAATAAATTTTAGTTAATTTATATAAAATAAACCTACATATCTGAAAATCTACACAGGCAATATGAACTATGTAGATCTTTATTATATATTCTCTCTCTCTTAAGAATTTTGAATACAAACTCCCTTAAACATTATTTAATGACCTTTGTGAACTTCGGTAGATTGTTTTCCCTCAAGAGAATATAAGCTCCTTGTGGGTAGAAACTGCCCTTATTTTTGTCTTTTTTTAATTCTCAGTACCTAGCACTTAATAAAATGCTTGTGGAATCAATCAACTCATACTAAGTACATGGTGTCATTTCTATAAATGAACTGAAAGTTATTTGACTTTTAGGCCTCTAACCCACACAGGACTATTACTTACCTTCATTAAGATACTGATGGCACATGCCATACCAACTGCACCAACCCCAACAACAGTAATCTTGTTTTGGGGAACCTGGTCTTCCTTTAGGACATTCACAATCAGCTGATCCTTGACAGAAGTTGCCATTTTGTGGGAGATCTGGGGGTGCGGGAGAATGAAGGTTTAATAAAACAAAAAAAAAAACATTTCACTGTTGGAGCTAATCACATTAGCATCATGAGTTACTTAACCACACTAACTAGACTTTATTGGCAGGCTTGCTGAAGTCTGTCCTTGCTTTTGTAGGCATATAGCTTGTAAAGACAAGGGAACCTGGGAAGTGAGGGAAGAAGCTTGATCAAAAAAGGACCCAAGGATGGAAGAGGAAGTGAAAAGTCGAAGTTGGGGGGCAGTGATGGGAAAGCTTCCACTCCCTCACCTTTGCCTTCACACAGACAAAGGTAGTTTCTTGGTAAGTGTAGCCTCCTGAAGCCATATTGCCCCATGGACCTCTGAGCTGATTTTTTATAAGGAATTTCACTGTTGCCTTTGTCTCTGCCAAGAAGTTGAGGTGGACTCCTACTCCAGTTCTCGCAGCACAGTGGGGCTGACAATACACCGCCCTGTCTGGCAGCCCACGTGGGTAGCAAAAAGAGTAAAAGGGAACTGCCATTAACGGTCTGAGGGACAGGACCGGGAGGGAGCCTGCCGCCAGCATCGCACATGCGCGTCTCTTCTCTCCTCCCCGAAGTTCTGGCCAAGTCCCAGGTGACTCACTGCCTCTGTGCATGCGCATATGGAGGTGGGGTTGGGGGAAGGGCGGGGCCTAGCAAAGCCAATTTGCAGCTCCTTTGGAAGGGAGCCGAATTCTGCTTCCACATGTCTACTGCCTCCCAGAGGGAAATAAAAGAGCGTAGGGGAAGGGAATGGTGGTATACGTCTCTTGTTAGGAGCATAACCATTTCTTCCTCCCTTCCCCCCAATTTCGGAGTTCGGAGATACCCGCTTTCTCTTCCCAAGCTTTCCAAGAGCCCTTGCTCCACCCCACGCTCTGGCGCCTAGGACACTACAAGGAATAGGATGCGGTAGGTTTCAATGGACTCCTCCCCCTTCTAATCATAAAATCTCACTTCCTTAGGAGAAACTCCAAAACTGCAGCAATCAGTGGTGTCTCCTCCAAGTTAGACAATAAAAGCTGATTGTAGAAGACACATGAATCAGGTCTGGCAGCCTCAAACTAGACAAAGGACCGACAACCAGGAAATCGTTGAGGAAGAGAGTATTAAACCGGAATTTATAAACTCTGTTTCATTCTGCAGCAACCATTTCATTATTGCAACACACCCTACGATAAGCATATAGGCAGAAAGTGAAGCAATATTCTGCAAAGGAAATTCAGAAATAGTTGCAGGAGGTGAACCAGCCTGGAACACTCGAGAGGAAAATTAAATTTCTTCCATTAATACTGAGTGTACTTTCAAATACAGCACTGGTTACAAGGACTAAGTTTCTTTGGATTTTATAGAACTTTAGGATGGTAGAATCGGAAGGGGCTTTTGAAATCTAATCCCTCATCTCAGATTTAGTTCTCACAATTAAAAGTGAGCAGTCTTTTAGGATTTTGTGAGTGTGTGGTTGTATCTAATGATAAGCTAATAAAGCACATATTTCGGGTGTGGTTAAATGTAACACCATACATAATATTACCTAGAACCATATGTGTGTATGTGTGTGTGTGTAACCCTATAATAAATCTTATAATAAAAGTAACTATGTAATGAACATAATATATATAGTATCTATAATCCTATATATATTATGTTTTCTATTTTATATATTCAATGTTATAAAAAAGTAACACAATATAATAAATATTTACAGCCTTAGGCAGTGCCTGGCACACAGAAGGCACTCAAATAGTTCTTACTTGATTGCAAATGCATTTTGTCCAAGTAACAGACACTCTTAAAGAATGAAACTGGCAAGATCAAGAAGCAAAAACTGCTTCCAAAAACTGCTCCATCAAGCCTCAGCCTTAAAGCATAGCTCTAAACCAACGCAAAGCTCCAAGAGCCTTTAAAAGATCACCAGTCCAATCTCTTCCATTTGTAGAGAAGTAGAAAGACTAAGGGACTTGCCCAGGGCAACATTGTTGCAGGGCTGTGATTAGAACCCAATTTCCAAATCAATCCCAGTCCATATTCAAAGCCGATAAAATTACTGATGTGGAAAAAGACTTTAAATCAACAGCATTCTCTCAGCGCTGAAGTTCCAGTTTGGTAGAGATGGCGCTCGATAATTATATAACTATATATATATATAACTATATATATATATATAAAATACATGTAAAATATATGTATATATAATTTATATATTATTCGTATCATTTATATAATAATTATAAAAAATATTGAATTGAGTTTTCTGCGTCTGGCTCTAACACAGTAGGGGTTAAAAATGTTGGAGAGTTACACTAAACACAAAAAAAGGGGAGGGGGTTCCCTCTAAGTAAAAGGTTAAACCCTAAACCATGGACCATTATGGATTTTGCAATCAGTCCAGCAGGAACCCCCCCCCCCGGGGAATTTAAACCTTAGTCCCTCACTTGAAATCAAGTCTCCAGTTACAATGCAACACTAGCCAAGGAGGATTATTCTGCAGTTAAGAAGCTCATCTTCCGAGCACATTGGTCCTGGAGCTCCAGCACCTGGCACATAGACGTTTAATAAAAGCATGGGTTGCTGGGACTTAGGATATTGCAAGCCAAAGGCTTCAGCGCTTCAGCAAGCGGCCAGCAGGGCGAGGGTACAGGATAGAGAGACATCCCTTTCACCCCCTCCCCCCTCTCTAAGTGCTCTTAGTAGTTTCCGCCTTAATAACCCATTCAACCTCTGAGCATGCTTCCCTCGGGAAGCCTCGGGGCAGCTCTCGCTCTCAGATCAGACTGAGAAAGCAGATTGGGTTTTTCCTCTCTAGTAGTCTGCCTCCTCCCCTACGGAGCTGAAGCTCTTTCAGGATCGGCAGCGCATGGGGAAATGTACTACCCTAGCTCAGATTCCTGGGGGACAACCATTTGGCCAATGGGTACCTGAAGGCCTCTCCCTCCTCCATCCCCCACCCCCCACTCCGCGTGCAGTGGGCCAGGAACAAAAAGCAGTCACTAAAGTAAGTCTATCGGTCCAACTATTCAACCCCACATGGCCCAAAGGCCCAAAGGGAGTCCTAGCCACAGCCTCCGACTCTTACTCCGTCCAGGTGCAAACTCACAGCCCCAACTTGCAGCATGGGCACGCAAGAGAACTAGGGACTGGCCACAGGGGAATAAAACTGGGATATGAGTTTGGCACGCTGGGGCCAGAAGTCAATGGAAACCGAACAGAGTGGGCTGCATGGTCCAGTGCACGAGACCATGCCAGCATTCTTAACTCACTCCAGCACAGGCAGGGTGGGCCAAAACTGATCTACCCCATGCCTTGGCCTGGGCAGTGTCGAGTCGGCTCTGAACCAAGACCTCTTGGGCCCCCCAGACCCTAAGCACACTAAGTTAGACCCCCACCCCCACCCCACCCCCGAAAGAGAGAACCGTCCCTGTTCCTCCCCATTGTGGGAGCCAGACCTGCTGATCTCCCGATTGCTCTTGCACCCTTCCCTCCCTGCCCCGTTTGCTTCCCAATAATACCCAAGCACGAACCGAGGTGTTGCTGGTCGGGATGCGAAAGTTCTAAGTTGGATGTGAGACTGCTGCTCCCAGACTGGCGCGACTCGGTCTAGCGGGCGGGGCCTTATATATGTCGGAGAAAAGCTGACGTCACGAGAGGCTGGGAGCGGACGTGCTGGAACCCACGTGTGGATCGGGTGGGGCCAGGCTGGGCATGGAGGAAGGACTGAGAAGGGGCCTTTAATGGAGGAAGATTTGTAGATAGATAGGTTGATCTGTACACACAAAGCTTTGCCCTGCCCAGCCGTCTTGTCCACCCAAAGCCAGCGAATGTAGTCATTTGCTACTCGCTTCCTTTCCTCCCTTACAGACAACGCAGAATCTAGAGACTTAAATCAAGGAGAGTCCACAAAGAACAGTGGCATTTTCCCTCTCCTTTATAGAAGACCACAGAGCACAGCTGTATAATGAGGAGAATAGCAACTAGAATACCTACCTAACACAGATCACAGAATCAAAGGATCATGGCTTTAGACCTGCAAGCAACCTTAGAGCTCATCTAGTTCAACCCCTTCATTTTCACATAAGGAAACTGAGGCCCAGAAAGGTTAAAGTAGGTAGCACGTGGCAGTCTTGATGCAAACTCAGGTCTTTTAGTCCAAGTTCATCACTCTTTCCACTGCACCCCAGCAGTAATGAACAGATGAGATAATGGATGGAGGTGATTTGAAAATTGAAACAAATGAAAAATGATGTTGAAGGTCAGTTTTTATGAAAATCACCAAGCAGAAACACCGCACCTGGAGGGCTTGGTGAGTCAGACAGACCACTGGTAGAAAGGGAAGATAGCTACAGAATCTCAAAGTCACCTTTCTTTACCTAGATAGGGTGGAATTGCTTTAAGTTACTCCAAGCCAAAGTGTGGCCATTTATGGCTTCCATTTTACTTAAATCATGCACATTCCTTGGCACCTGCCTCGGTACCCCCACTTTCACAGAAAATCACTTGCAACAGAAGCAGACTTTCTCAAGATGGCCCAGTAATACAAATGCCATTCTGAGGAAAGAGAAGCAGATTAGACAGTGAGACCCAGAAGAGCCTGCCTCACAGGACACCATCTAAAATATTTACTGAAGACATAGTGATTGAACATCTGTCGTGTGCATTTGCCTAGTGAAGTATGCAAAAGTAAGGTCCCTATGCTCAAGGAGCTTATGATCTTGTGGGGAAGACATATATACATTTAACAACATGTGGTAATATGTGGCAGGGGATTAGAGAGCTACAATGTGCTGTGAGTGTGGAGAGAAAAAAAAGATCCCTTTTAGCTCCCCAGAGGAGGCAGGGAAAAGAATCATTGAGGAGATTCCTCTGGCTGACAAACCCAAAAAATGGACAAAAAGCATTCTATGAAGGGATTAGTTACTGACATATAGCACTTCAAACTTTCGAAAAGTTTGTGTATGTGTGTGTGTGTGTATCAGGGATTTTATTTCTAGATCTTCTCTGCCCCTCCAAACTTGTTCCTAGCATGATCATTTGCATGAACTACCATGGGTATTATGAGAGTGGAAAGACTTTTAAAGGAATTTTCTTATTCTAAAATAAAGAACTGAATCTATGGAGTAGCATCTCAGATAAAATTCAGGTATTCAAAAGACAGATTTAATAGTAACCTTAGCCTATCCTGAGGGCTTCATTTGCCCAGTTGTAGCTCTGATTGAAATCAAATACCTAGGTAGTGTGAGAATGGAAAGACCTTTAAAGGAATTTTCTTATTCTACAATAAAGAACTGAACTCATGGAGTAGCAGCTCAGATAGAATTCAGGGTATTCAAAAGACAGATTTAATAGTAACCCTTGACTATCCTGAGGGCTTCGTTTGGCCAGTTGTAGCTTTGATTTAAATCTCAAAGAATGAGATACATCTGAGATAATTTTCGAAAAGAACTGGAAGGGAGAGGTGGGACACCCCTCTCTTACACGAATAGAAAGGATGCAGTGGATACAGCACTGGCCCTGGATTCAGGAGGACCTGAG